GGAAAGATGCTAACAAACTAGTGAGATCTGTTGCATTTGAAGGAGGAGGAATATGAGGAATTTGAGGTTGTTGATGATTATGTGTGTTAGGATGAACAGAATATTGAGATTGGGGCTGAGGTAGTTGCTGCGGCAGGGCTTCACATGTATTATTGGGGTTCTTACCTCCAAGTAGTTCGGAGTATGATAAATTATTGTTAACAATTCTAGAAGGTTCTCTTCTTGGTCTGGTTGTCTCATCTTGAATCCGGTTCTTCTGGTATCTGGATTTGAGGCTCTTATAGGTTTGGCAGCCTTTGTAGTTGGCCGGGTGTCCCTCCTGGCATAGTGCACACACTGCAGGATCTTGTGTTGGTTTGGTGCACTCCACAGATTTGTGCTGTTCACCGCATTTCACGCAACGCGGCAGATGGTGACAATAAGTTTTCGTGTGGCCATACGCCTGGCAATTGTGGCACTGCACAATTTCCTTCTTGGGGTATGGCTTCTCTATCTTCACGATAGTGTAGTACAATCTCTTGATATCATATATTTTTTCAATGCCAGGTGATGGCTCTAGATCCACGAAAAATAAAGGTAGTGGAACTTTATTACTCACTCCTGGCTGCTCCTTATTCTCCTTCAGAACGTTGGTTACCTGACGCACTTTGAAACCAAGCGTCGCTAGTTCTTCTTTTATCACTTCAGTTGGGGTTGAGGAGTGTAAATTTCTAACCACCACTCGTAGCGATCTCTCCTGTTTCAGCTGGTACGTGTGGAAATTTGCATTAGTTTCTGACAGGTACTTCACAATTTTTCGGTAGGCTTCTGCAGTATCAGGTGTTATTTTTGTGTCGTTAGTCCTGTTGAGGCAAGAATAACTGCCGGAGCAGATTTCGTTTAGCTGTGTACACAGTAGTTGAAAATTTTTGATGTTTTTAACAAATATCGGAGGAGGCCTTGGTTCCCTGGGTACTGCTGCTGACTCCATTACTTCTCTGTCATTATGAAGCACTTGGAACGGGTTTGGAGTGAAGAAAGGAGATTCTTCAACCATTTCTTGCGAAGAAGTACCTGGTTGAGGCTGAGGTTCTGTATCTGAAGTTTTCACTGTGGTTATTGGAGCTATTTCTCGCAGGCAGCGACGAGTTCTTTGTTTCACTGGTGAATCACGAGGGGTACTAACTCCGTCTGACCGAGTCCTCTTAGTGGGCACCTTACTGGACATCACTGGCTGACAATGCCGCATATCATAAGAGAAGAAAAAAAAAATTAAAAAAAAAAAAAAAAAAAAAAAAATATTAAAAAAAAAATATGTAGCAAACTGTAAATAACAACTGCTCTGGTGTACAGTTCAACTATATTCAGTAAATAATCAAAGAGATTCCGCTGAAAAAATAGGCAACAACTGAGAGAAGATTTCAGAACACGTCCTTCGCATCAGCTGATCCACTGCCTTCTTCATTGTCACTCTAATAGCTAAATTCGACTCTTTTCTTCTACGTACACAAAGTTCCCAATTTACTGGAGTCTTAATTCTAATATAATCCTTCCAAGCGGTTTTCTTCCTTGCAGCTGCCGCCTTCACCCTTTTATTCAACCATTCAGATCTTTTGTTCATCAGTGAAATTTTTGTGATCACGCAAGCTGTGGTTGCTGAGTGGATTATTGCAGTTTGTGAACTGATTTCTTGAAGCTTGCGATTAAGAAGTTCGGTATATTCCTTTTTGTTTTCAGTTATCTGAAGTTTCTTAATGTTAATTTTCATATAGCTACTGTGAACAACTGGAAAGATTGTACGCAAAGTTGTCAGAGTGTTACCTTGCTTTGATCAACCGAAAAGTTTAAAGAACTTAATTGATTCGAACTCCTGCCTCATCCACCATATAGCCTAGACTTCGCACCATTGGATTAATACTTATTTAGATCCATGGCCCATTTTCTTTAAAGGAAAAAAAATTGATAATTTTGCGAAGTTGAAATAGTGGTCCAAGAGTTCTTTGACAGCCAACATAAACCTATGTATTCCGTATTCCCAAAGAATGGAATCAGTGTGGGATCGAGCAATTAGTTAATGATGGCAGATAACAATGGACTATACTTTGAGTGTTAGTTGTATTTTATATCAAAGAAATAATAATACAAATATTTGATTGAAAAATGGTCATTTTTTTTTTTTTTATACACCCTATTATTATAGTAATGCTCGAAATTAGTTTCGTACCAAATACAAGCTCCTGTCCTGCTAAACTGCCATAAATGGGGATCATTGGATTCAGAATTTCATGGGGGGTTAGCAATTAGTACTCTTTTTTTTTTTTTGTTTTTCTTTCTAAAATAAATGAAGTTAATATAAAAATTTTTCTAGACTTCAATACTGAAACGGTAGTAAGTCAGTGGATCGATAAAAGACAAATTGAGATTTGAAGATTTTGATGAGGAACACTCGAAGAACCGATGCCCTGCGTTATGAAGCCTAAAAATGTTCCGAGACAATGCAAAGCAAAAGGTTCGTATCCAAACAACCTAACACTAATTGTAGTACTGCCATGGGGATCCATGACTCATGTGGCCGATTTGAGGTCCCTAAGATCTAGAGAGTTTATATTATTTATCAATGGTGTATTTTTGTTGGTACACCATATCTTCATTAATTTTTCATCAAACCCCAAGACTGAGCCATCATTTTGAAGGTTTCCTTCTCCTTCAGGAGGGAAAAATAGTCATATCCCCGAAATTTCTGGAAAAAAATTATGATGGAAAAGAAACTTTATTTGTGAATAGCAGCTGAACCATGATTATTTAAAAGATTACTAAATTCCCTAAAAAAAAAAAAAAAAAAAAAAAATCAACAAAATAAAAAATTATTAGCAAAGATACAGTTTATTGAAATTTGTGAACATGTTGGTTCAAAACATTAATAAAGTTTTAAATTAATTTTTGTTTCCTTCGTCAATTATAATTAGCGAGAAAATAAAAACTGATTTCTCCATCTTATGATACATTGTATTATTTTATTTTATTATTAATTTGTCTTTTGTTCACTGACCAATAGGCTGTGCGAATCATTCACACAATGTCTATTATGTTATATGTAAGCGCATTATGTTTTAAGTTATCAGGTATACATAGCTTATATTTGTTTTTTTATTGTCAAATGCAACCTATTAAATTAAAGTACATAAACTATTTTTATATTTACTTTTTTCTTTTATTTAATATTTTTTAGTTAGTTAGGCCTGAGTAACTGACGGAACAACATCGGATCTATGTTACACGCTCTTTTGGTATAGTTTTTCTTATCCGATTAATCTTAAAATTGTCATGTATATAATGAGAGCGGATTGTGAGTGTCATGCAAAATTTTAAGAATATCGGAATAAATTGAAGGCAAAGGAAGATGCTCATAGTCCAGGCCTGGCTCCTTATCTACCTTGAGGAATAGACTTGCTGTCCCCCACCACCTTGCTGCACCAGCTATATGTCAAGGTCACTGTCAGCTACCACAAATCTAACAACGTCAACCCAATACCCGTCATCGAATCAACCTAACTTCTTTTCTTGGCTGAAAATAACTAATATCGTAATAAGGATATTCAGGTGAATGTATAAATGTTAATGTATATAATATTATAAATGTAGTAGTATTTATTTCCTTTGGGTACACAGTATTTATTATTAGCCTATAAATGTGCTTAAAATCTATTTATTTAATTTCAACTATTTGGCATTATTTTATTCAGTCCACATATATATATATATATATATATATATATATATTGCGATATTGGCCGAGAATATTATCTTGGTTTCTCTGGGAATCATTTACCATCACTTATATAGTAATTTACCATAAATTGAGGATGTTTTTATCATTTATTCTGTTTTAAATTGTTAACATTGTCTTGTATTTTTGTCTTTAGTTGTGGATAATATATGTGTGTGCGATTTAGTGTTGGATTCTTAGCATTCAATTTTTTTTTTATGTGTATGTTCTGCAATTTTGATGGCTCAGTGTAGTTTATTGTACTTGGTGTAGTTATTAGTTTATATTTCATAAGACTATTATTATAATCAGGAAGGAAAAGAAGGAAAGCTATATATATATATATATATATATATAGTAATAGAATAATGTAATGTATAAATTATGTCCAAGTGGATTGATCGGTATGCTGTGTGTATAGCAACCCTATGTAGTATGGCAGCATTACTTTCAATAAAGTATTTCTCTCTCTATATTGAATTAAAAAAATAAGTTAATAAGTCGCGCTGGCGTAAGCTGGAATGCTAAATGGAATTTGATAAAATTGATATGGGACCATCTAGACACCAATCCACATAATCCCTGAAAATTTCATTAAAATCAGATGAACGGTACTAGGTGATATGCCCGTCACATCGATTGATTACAGACAGACACCGAACCAAATTTGATCCTTGATGCCTGAAACGTAAACGCGAATGGAAATTTTTGAATCTGAGCACAAAATTTATTTAAAATCTCGCACTAACACAATGATTCCCTACCGTTGGTAGTGAGGAAGCAAAATAAGTTACAATAATTTACTATAAATTAATACTATTAGAAATTGTATAAATACATATTAATGTACAAAGTAATGAATTTAGAATTTAAACATCAGAAAAACTCATTAATCGTCACCAATAAGACATGGTGCCACCATGCGCCGCGTTCCTACTGGTGTTACAAATAAAGGCACGCCTACTGGAAGGTTAAGAGTATCCTGAAGTATTAATCCCTCTTGGGGAACCAAAATATTCCACTGCGGGCAGAGAAACAGGCTTGATAGGAAGAGAGAGAGAGATCTAGCTGATGAATAACTATTGCAAACCTGCTCTTAAAAGTAATGACTATAATGACCAATGGAGTAAAGCTGAAAAGCTTAATAGTTCTAATGGATACAAATATTAAAATAGAGTATAACAGTTTCTCATGAAGAAGTCCATAAAAAATGTATCCACAAGTTAACAAATATTTTAGACAATTAGATACTTACAAGGAGCTGATGAGATGTCTTTAACTGGAAGCTCATAAGGACTGGGATCCAGATTTGAAGTTCTTACAATGCCCGAAGCTGATCGCTGGACCTTTACTCCACTTCCTCGATTTAAATCTCGTTCAGAACCACTTCTTCCCAATCCTGATCTTTTACTAATTGTAAAATATTAAGATATTAGTAATCAAATCATGGCAAAATATTAAAATCATTTTTAATTTTAATTTATCAACACATTACAGTAATTCTTCATCAGTGAATATTAACAAAATACAGTAAGTTCTCCATAATAGACAACTACAGGGAACTTAATTTCATCCTCTATAGGGAGAAGTCTGTTATGGAAAAACTAGAAGAAAACAAGTTAAGAAAATAAAAATTAACCGATTAAAATTGTATTTCATGAATCATATCAATGCTATTGTATATTATATTTAAAAATATTTAAATATAAATGATAGAGAGTACATATATATATATATATATATATATATAAGATAAAGACCGGAGACTGGCGATATCAGCCTTAATACCATCTTGTAATGTAAATAAACATAGCAATTGTATATAAGGCAGATTATTGAACGAATAAAGCAGTGTTAATTCAGAAGCCGTGAGTATTGTTTCTCGTTCCTCTTTCCTTCTTTTTTTTTATTTACAAAGCCCGGAGACGCTTAACTGGTGCCGAAACCCGGGAGAACGTCAGGAGAACACGGAAGTAAAATTTTTTTTTCCTTTCTTTATTTTAATTTTTTTTTCTCTTCTCCTAGTCATAAGGAAAAGACGAGATGCCGACAGAGGGCATAATTCGACCAGGAGTGTTGAACGCACCTGAAATGCCGCAACCTCAGGAAATGCCGATAGCGCAGATTCCTCAGATCGCCCCTCAGGTTCCGCAGATTCCGCAGATACCTCAGATACCTCAAGTACCGCAGATACAAGAGATCCCTCCCTTACCTAGGGACACATTGGCAGAGGCGCACGCCAATGCATTGGAGTGGATGAAGATAAGGGCAGCGACCACGCAGGATCTACGGAGAGCAATCGCAGACCTGGAGCGATTCGGGGGCGAGATAGGTGAACTTAATCACTTCCTGAAAGGTGGAGACCGCCTCATATCAAGAATCGAAGCAAAGGTGGCGGAGGACCTCGTGAACCTGGGAGACGCAGAAGCACTGAAGGCAGCTCTCGTGTGCCGAGTGAGGAGGAACATCCTCAACCAAATCCAAGCGGACGAGGAGACACCATGGCCAGTGATTAAGGAGCGTTTGAAGAAGGCTTTCGGAGGGGGCCGATGGACGCCGGAAGAAGATATCTTCCAAATGTTTAGGGAGTGTCGGTCCCAACGCCAATCAAGAGGACAGTATGCGGGGGTACTAGTGGCGAAGTACAACCGCATAACTGAGAAAATGCGGGAAACCATGAGTGTGGGAGAGGTCGAAGCTAGGATGGAATTCCTTTCGACAATACTCAAGGTTCAGTTGGCTAAGGAGACTGGGAGAAGGGACGGACTGCCTAGAGAGCGATCGTTCCTCGAGTGTGCCCAAGAAATGATAGATCTGAGTGCAAGAGAGGAAGAGACGCGGATGGAAGTAGAAGAACCAGGGTGGACCCGGGTGAGTGACAGACGACCCCGGACAGCCCAGATCGGGTGGAGGAAGAGGGAAATGAAACACCCGAACGGAGAAAAAGCCACGACGGGCGAGAGAAGATCCGGACAGTCCAGGCCTAGGAATGGACCCCGGAGGGAAGACAGAAAATGTCACGGGTGCGGGAAACCGGGACATTTGGTAGCACAATGTCCGCGCACTAGATGTTTCGAGTGCGGGACGGAAGGGCATATTGCCAGACAGTGCCCGTACATGTTTCGCAGGAGAGAGAGACCTCTAGACGAGCCAATGGAGGTGAACGCTCAAAAGTTGAAAAAACGAGCTAGGATGCAGCAGAGAGACGGATCTTCGGAAGAGGCAACCGAGGAGTCGGGGACGTCGGGAACGGAGACTGACGAGCCAGCCAGCAGTGGAGGCGAAGGAGGCAGGAGCAGCCAACGGAGCGAGCAACGACGAGCGACGGCGGTAAGGAGGAAGCGAGGTGGCATCTGAGAAGGGTGTCAGCAGAGAGGCGACCGCACAGCAACCTGCAACAATATTAGAGGTAAGCCATGCTGGTTGCCGATTATTGAGGTAGACGGGGGAGTGAAGTGTCTCGTGGACACAGGGAGCTCGAGTACTATCTTGACTCGGGGGGCGTTGGGGAGAGTGTGCGGGAGCGAGAGGGTACTCCGGATACAAAACTGTGGCTGCCAGCTAATCACTCTGGGTGGTCCCTGTAAAGTAGAAGGGGAAGCGTCAATTACGCTTGATCGGTGGGCAGGGAAAAAGGGGGAGCTAAAGGTGCATGTGGTAGAGAGCATGACGCGGGAGTACCAAGTCATAATAGGGTGTGATCTGTTAGGACAGGTAGGGGTAAGCATTAGAAACCGTAGAGGAGCTTGGAGTATCAGGCTGGGAAAGAGGAAATTTGGATGTATAGGGGTCGCGAGAGAAAGAAGGGTGCGGATAGGAGCGGTGAACAGGGTGGAGGACTGGAGAAAGGCGTTACAAGCGGAGTTCGTAGATATTTTCTTCAGGGAGGGCGAGGTATTGGGGGTAACAGGGAAGACGGTACACGAAGTTCCACTGAAGCAAGATAGGGTGACCTACGTAAAGGAAAGGAGATACCCGCAGGCGCTGAGGCAGCATATTCGGGAGGAATTGGAAAGCCTAAAGGAGCAAGGGATCATAGTCGATAGCACCTCGCCATTTAATAGTCCCCTGTGGGCAGTGAAAAAGAAGGCAGCGCCGGGGGATAATAAGGAAAAATACAGAGTGGTAGTGGACTATCGTAGGTTGAACGACAACACGGTAGACGAAAAGTACCCGATCCCTAGATTCGAGGATATACTTGATAGGTTGAGTGGGGCCGTGGTGTTTAGCACGTTGGACCTCAAGGCGGGATACCACCAAATACGGATGCACCCGAAGGACCAACATAAGACGGCGTTTACATTCGAAAGGGGGCATTACGAATTCACCAGAATGCCGTCTGGTCTGAAGAATGCGCCCATAACGTTTCAACGCCTGATGGACGAATTTCTGAGGGGGATCGACGACTCCGTATGTCAGGTATACATGGACGACCTGCTGATTTTTAGCAGAACGGAAGCCGAACACGTGGGGCATTTGAGGTCGGTATTCGAAAGGCTGCGACAATTCGGGCTGAAACTGTCCAGTGAGAAGTCCCTGTTGGGACAAACGCGGATCAATTTTTTAGGCCACACTATTTCTAGCGAGGGGGTCAGACCGGATGCGGCAAAGGTGGAGGCTATCACACGAATGGCGGTGCCACGGGACGTTAAAGGGATTCGTAGGCTTCTCGGGACGCTGAATTATTATAGAAGATTCGTACCTGAGATGGCAGAATACTTGGTACCTATCAATAACTTGCTGAAGAAAGGCGCGAAGATCGTGGTGACACCGGAAATGGAAAATAATATTCGGAAATGCATGGATAGGTTGCAGGCAGAACCCGTATTGGCGTTCCCGGATTTTGAGAAGCAGTTCAACGTCACCACCGATGCGAGCGAATACGCGTTGGGGGCCGTTTTATCCCAGGGCAGAAGTGAGGGTGAACGTCCGATAGCATACGCGAGCCGACGACTTACGAGCGCGGAATCACGGTACAGCGCGTTAGAGAGGGAGCTACTCGCGATAGTGTGGGCCATCGACCATTTCAGGCCATATATATTTGGGAGGAAGTTTCGAGTCCACACCGATCACAAACCCCTTCAGTGGGTAGGAAAACTTAAGGAAACCTCTGCGAGGGTCACGAGATGGAAAGAATTCCTTAGCCAGTACAACATGGAGGTGGTGTATAAGCCGGGAAAGGAAAACGTGGTGGCAGACTGGCTCTCTAGGGCCATCATGATCAACGCGGTAGAAGAGGACGGGGGAGGTCCATCGCGGGACGTGCGCCAATTCTTGAGGGAATGGACTCCTGAGGGTGAAGGGGCAGATGATACCGTCAGTATAGAGGACAGGGAGGGGTCCCCGGAAGAAGATAGCTCAGCGGAGGAAAGACCAGTGGCGATGGAGGAAATAGACGAAATCATCAACGACAAGCATAGACAGGTAATCTGGAAAACCAGGACAACAGGGATCATGAAAATAGATTACCGAAGATACGGGAAAAGTAGGATTCGCGTCATTTGGTCGCAACCCGGGGTGAGCGAGGAGCAAATCCGTACGGCACTGAAGGACGCCACGGAACCGGGAAAGACACACCATCTCTATGTTGGGAACAACACGGTATGGGAGAAAATAAAGCGGATGTGGAGATCCGAGCGAATAGGCATGGATAGAACGATCATCCGGTGCAAGTATGCAGTGGAAACCGTACAGGATGAGGAGCAGCAACAAGCAATTACATTGGCATACCACCAGGGGAAGACCAACCACCGTGGCGTCAACGAGACGTTGCAGGCATTACGGCGAAAGTATTTCTGGTGGGGAATGAAAAAATCTATCCAAGGAATCATCGGGAAATGCGAGGTGTGTATGCGCACAAAGTATGATCGACACCCCCCCAGAGGAGTTCAGGAAGAGACACCTACAGGGAATATGCCGCTACAAGACCTCCAGATCGATACATTCACCTGGAAAGGGTTCAAGTGGGTCACGATCATCGACACCTTTAGTAAAGTAGCTATGGCACATCAGATCATCGACAAGTCTGCCAATGCAGTTGCGGAAGCCCTACAAATCTGGATACAGTTTTACGGAGTTCCCGAGAGGATCACATCAGACGGTGGCAGAGAATTCGACAATACCGCGATTAGGGAGGAGGTGAAAAGGTTAGAGGTTGTGTGGCATTATAACACACCGGGACACCCTAAGAGTAGAGGAGGAATCGAACGTTTGCACAGCACGCTGAGTGACCACATCCGTGTATATCAGGGAGAGAAAGGGTTGGAGCCGGATGTCGCGATGAAGAAAGCCGTAACAGCTTACAACCATTCGATCCACTCCGTAACGGGGTTTTCACCTGTGGAAATACTATTCGGGATGCGCAGGCCAAGGAGAGATTGGGGGGAAACAACGACCGATGAACATCTCGTAGAGCAAATCCAGAGTACTAGGGTAGAGGTAGGAAAGACGTGGGGAAAGGTAGCGGGGAGAATTCAGCGGGAAAAGGAGAAGCGGGTAGCGCGGCAGAATGTGCAGGTACGTGACCGAATGGGAGAATTAAAAATCGGAACAATAGTGTATCGTAGAATTGGAACCAACAGAGGGAAACAATTGTTACGGTACGAGGGCCCATTCAGAGTGGTTGCTATTAGGGAGCATAATCTAGTAACCATTGAAAGCATTAACGAACCTAAGAAGAGGAGAACTGTTCATATTGAACAATTGAAGCTCCCAATGTTAGAACCGGTACAGAAACCAACTGATTCGTAGTACCCTTATCGCGTATTATAAAAAAATATGTTTTTTTATTATTATTACTGTTGATGATGTCATTTTTTTTTTCTCTCATTATTTTTGTTGTTCTTGTAAATAAAGATATGGCAGCATAATAGAGGTGATTGTAATTTTTATAGGATTAAGAGTTCTGTCCATTGTTAATAAGACGTTGTGTGTTTACTTTCTGTGGTTTATTTCTTTTTATTTATTTCTCGTTCCAGCGGAGTGGAAGTGAGGTTTGGTGTACTTTAAGTTTATACTGGTACGAATAAATTGTAAAGGGTTAAGGCTGATACCGGTGGCTCCGATCTAGGAATTTATAAGTTTCCGAAAATCCTATTCGTAAACTGGTGGGGGGGAGATAAAGACCGGAGACTGGCGATATCAGCCTTAATACCATCTTGTAATGTAAATAAACATAGCAATTGTATATAAGGCAGATTATTGAACGAATAAAGCAGTGTTAATTCAGAAGCCGTGAGTATTGTTTCTCGTTCCTCTTTCCTTCTTTTTTTTTATTTACAAAGCCCGGAGACGCTTAACTTATATATATATATATATATATATATATATATATATATATATATATATATACTGTTTATCATTTATCTTTAAATATTTTTAAATATAATATACAATAGCATTGATATGATTTACACGTCTATTATGGAGAACTTTTACTTTATTTATATTTGTTAACTGGAGAACAATATCATTGATATGATATATGACGTAAATTTGTATAAACAAAATTTAAATTATAATATTACAGCTGGAAGGGAAGGACCTCAGTATAGATGACTCTAGTTTTGCACAAATGGATCTTGGCTGAGGTCTAGGCTCATTAGGTTTCCCCAATTGTACCATGGCTAGACACTATGGTGGAATTGTTTCTTTTTACTCTAGGTACTTTTTAAGAAATTTCCATAAAATTTTCAAGTCATCATTAATATATTGATAAAAATAGTATTAAAAAATAATAATAAATAACAAAAACATAGATTTTGTTGATACATTGTCATAATAATATCATTTCATCATTCTCTGTAAAAGTAATTTAGAAACTATTTATAACAGATAAAAAAAAAAATGCAACAACTTTTCATATTAATGGCTATAACTTTTACTTAATTTTTTTTTCTAGTCCTCCTTTAGCTTAGTTTACAAATACTACATTTCTATTCAAACCTGACCATACCAAATTTGAGAGAAGTTTGTTGGAGATGTTATAAAAGTAATCTAATAATAAGTGGGACTCATATTTATTACGTGCATATGTTTTGACCTACTTTGTAGGTTTTGTAAGGTATTTCACACAGGTTTTATCACACTAGCAGTGCAGAAGGGAGTATATTTTTTCAACTGTATTTACATACTTAACAACAATAAAACAACAAACTAATTATACAAATGATTAACTATAAGATGGTATTAATAAAGAGATAATAATATTGAGTAGCACTTACCCCATCCTGTCTAAATTAGAGACACTTTTTGGTCGTGGAGGTGGTGTTGGTTTAGAATTAACTTGTGCAGGTGGTTGATTTTCTTCAGAACTTGAATCTTCAGTATTACCACCTTGGTTTAAAGCTACTAAACATTCAACATTTTACTATTACTTTATGTAGCAAAATATTGATAACTTAAAAAGTTAATGAATGATAACTGAATAACTAAACTAATTAAAGCTTGAAGGACTTTCTCTCAATAATAATTATTTTTTAATCACCCAAGGACCAATCAATTTGAAATCACACAATTTGAATTAATTTTGTTGCTCGACATTTTTGATTTTTATTATTTTTTTACAAGTTATTCCATATCTATTTGAGAGTTCAAAACCGTAGTTAAAAATTTTGGTGGGATCAGAAGAGTGTGATCTATTATGAGCTGCTAAAACTTGGCAAAGCATTCTATACTGAACGCTATCAACAACAAATGATTGATTTGAATCGAGTGATGTATGAAAAACTACCATAATATAAAAAAGACAACACACAAAATGTTTTTGTTTCATGACAATGCATCATTAGACACACCAAAATCAGTAAAGGAAATGACTGAGGCATTTAGTTGGGGAATATTAGCCTATGCGGACTACTAATCAGACTTGGTTCTGCCCAACTACTATTAATTTGCATCGATCAGGTATGCACTTGCTCAGAAGGGCTCCTCTTCTTATAAAAATAAATGAAAAGGCTAAATGACTGGTATATTACAAAAGAGCAACAGTTATTTTGGCATGGCATTCATATATTGCCAGACAGATGGAGAAAATGTATAATTAGCAATGGACAATATTCTGAAAAAATATTTTTTAAATTTTAAGACAGTAAATATGTATTTTCTAAATGAAAATTCTGCTTTCATATTTACACACCTGATAAATAGGGGAGGGGGAATGATTTATGAAATTATCTATAATTAAAAAAAAAGAAGGTATAAAAGCTCTTTAAAATTCCAAAAATAAAATAAAAAAATTATGAAAATGTGTTAAAAAAAATCATTATTTACCAGAAAAAAAAGTTTTAATAATAATTGCTATCAAAACTAGGAACAAAAATTATTTAAAACCATAGGACATTTCGTTCAAACCTACTGGCAGAGTATGCTCCAGACAATGCTCTCCTTCTAGCAGCTAAAGCTTTGTTGGAAGCAGTGGCAGACATTTTATTTTGTGATGATATAGTTGGCCGCATTACCCTCAGGGATACGAGACTTCTCTGCCCACCACCTGTAGTTTGGCTGATGTCACTCTCAGAATCACTCTAGAGAATATTAAAAATAAGATTATAGTTTTAAAATTTGTAAAACTTATGTGTTTTACATATGTATACACCTAGCAGTGCATTTAGACAATAAAATTCTCTTTATATATACGAGAAGTACATCAATAAACTGAAGTCTATTTGATAAACTGAATGACATCTAGAGTATAAGTGGAAAAAGGAAGAATCACTAAAAAAATATATATCTTAACAGAAAGCGTCTTCAATTTGATGGCTTTAACCTAATAAAAGAAAACTTATAGTAACTCAGTATAAAAAATATTTTAGGTCTTTATATCCCTGGGAGATCGGCACATATTTGTTTTCTGATCCAGCACATAATCTGATCTAGATAAGGCAACATATAGTTGTCCATGAGAATAACAATCTCCTAGTAAATCGACTCTAATATGCTTAAAAGTTTCTTCCTAAACTTTATTTACCTAGTTCTGCCATAAATACTGTTACATAAGTTGAACTATGTTTACATCCTTGGATATTATTTAAGATAATCCTTACCTCTATCAGGTTATTTTCTTTACGTGTCAGGATAATAATCCCAATTAGTTTGTATTTTTATTTCGCTCAGTTAACATGGAGTGGGGAGATAAAGAAAACCAAATAGCTATGATCGCCTTACACAAAGTTGGGAAATGTAGGTCAAAGATTTTCAACACTTTGAAACCTTTGGGTATCAGCCATATGTTCGTGTATTGCACTATAAATAGATATAATGAGACCCTATCTGTATATGACAGACCTCGAACGGGCTGTTCCCGCTTTTTTCAGATTGTTTTTGGGAAAGTATGTTATACACACAAATTAAAGGGGTTCAAGGGAAAGACTTTACCAAGTTTCGTTGAAATCGTTAAAGCCGTTTTGGCATTACAGTTTATAGCGATACATTTTTTTTCCGGCTTTGAACAAAAAAATATTTACATTTTAATTTTTTTTTACATATATAAAATTATCGTAAGACAGAAGTACTATGCTAGAAACCTTCCCAGGAGTGTACGGAACAACTTCCCAAAGTTTCATGGTGATTGGATGAATAGTTTAGTAATGCATAAAGGACAAACAGACAGACATACATTCATTTTTACATATATATAGATATGACGATAAAAAAAAAAAGATTTTTAGGAGGGTCTATCTAGTTTAAGTCTAAGAGCGAGCATATGTATTTTTTTTAGTTATAAACATTACTAAAATTCAATATACGTATGTATGTATAGTTAAAATTTACCTGGTTTAATACTCCAACTGAACTACTTCTCATCATATTGCTCTTAGGCCCACTATGTCTTGAATTAGAGTGAGATTTAGTTGTTGATGGCTTGGATGTAACTGAAATTTTGGAAAATAAATATTTTAATTTAAATAAAGGGAATAATCAATAGAAAAATAATATATATTACTGTCAGTTATTATATGCAAGGAATTAGTTATCATGATCATAAAATATCAAGAAGAGAAAGAGAAAGATTTACAACAGAAAAAGTTATAAAACATGATCTGCCAACTGTCTGCTCATGTCAGGATTTTGCTAATAAATCCACTTTATACTTATTATTGAAGATTTTTTTTCAAGAGTAATTAGTAGGCTTAAAGAGATATTCGTATTTTCGGAATGCTGAAGGATCAAGTAATGTCATTAGTCAAATAATCAAATATGGCTCAGTTCTAGAACCATTCAGTTTAACTGTATGTTTTATGTATGTATGTATGTATGTATGTATGTATGTATGTATGTATATGTATATATATATATATATATATATATATATATATAATATATATATATATATATATATATATATATATATATATTATACACACATTATATGTAATTATAAATGTATTTTTTAATGTAAATTTGTAAGTTTTTGTTTATTAAATTTCATGATTTCAGATCAAAACGGTATTGCAATAATTTTTTTTCAGAGAAGCTAAATAGAATGTTATTAATTGAAAAAAAAAAATTATTTGGCTAAAATTTAACAGAAACCGTTATTCACTTATAATATTAAATAATCAGTATTATTAATCATCAATAATATTCAAAAATTTTATAAAAGTAACAAATCAATATAAACAGTCCAAACTCTGTACACAGGAAGAATAGTATGGCTACCAAACATCAACCAGTCCAAAGATTTGCCCCCTTCATATATTTCTTTTAACATGTATAGAATAAACTAGAGCGGGCGTGGTGGGAAGAAAAAAAAGGAAAATAAGAAAGGAAGAACTTTACATATACATATGTACATTTGTTATCAAAAAGATTGTTTCTTTTTGGACTTATAATTAGGATGGTACCCATGAGATGAGAGCTCTAAGTCCGGAGGAGATGGCATCTCTAGTTTATTCTATTTTCACTGATTCCTGTCTATATTTGGTCATTATTAATTGGCAGCCTGAAGGTGAACTCATGAGGCACGAAGTGGAAAACCATTTGTTTATTTCTAACTCTCTGATATTACCAATAATTATTTACAAATATATTGAAAGATGATGTGGGAGGGGGAGAGTTAGGGAAAAAAATATTTTTAACATAGTGCTGCATGAGTTCCCCTCTGATTGCCAACTAATCATGGAAGAGCTATAGCTCCATGAACCATACTTAATAAAAAATGCTAACTGCAACTAAACAATAATTATATATTTGTACTTAATTATTTATAACATTTAAACATAAATAATAAGATAAATTTCAATATGCCACATACATGTTCAGGAGTAAGATCACATGATATACATTAATATGAAATAAATTTACTCCATTAGAAGAATTAATACTCGCATACCTGAAAATGTACTTCTTGAACGCGGGGATGGATTAGCAAGATCGCTCAATGAACAAGCTCTTCGAATCCCTCCAGATTCTTCTTGAACTAAGCAAACATAACATGCAATATCAAGCAAACAAGCTCAAACATACTCTACAAAGTAAAACAAATTAAATAATCCATGCTAACCAAAATAAAATCATATATTATGTAACAGTCTATCTAAGAACACACAACAAAAGTGCACATTCTCAAATCATAAAAAAAAAAAAAAAAAAATCAATCTTAATATTTATTCTTAAATTTAAACATTAATGGTAAGTGGCACATGAAACATACAATTTAAAAAAAAAAGAAAAGAAGTTTGAGCTAAAAAATTATTTTCATAGGGAGAGTTCATTAAGAAATATTGTTCATAATTTTAATTTACAGCTAAATAAATCAGTTAATTATAATTTCAATTAATTTATTTATTCCAGTGGTTTAAATAAACAGAAATGCCTAAAGGTCCATCAGCTGACTGGTAGTAAGCCAATTATGTTATTATACAATGGAATAATACACACTAGTAATGCAAAAAGAAATAACAGGTTTATGCCATCCATGAGCAGTCAAAAAGTTATTATCCTATAAAATTAAGATTAGAATGGACAGAAGGTGAATTAGTATTCATCAATGAAATCAAGAATAAGTTAAAAAAAAACAGACATCTTTAGAGGCAGATAAGTAAGGATGTAGATAAACTATAAGAAGTTCAGAAATGTGGTTTGTACTAACACTGTGGTTTGGTGCAGAAATGACAAACTTTGCTAGCCCACAGTCAGTTCAGCGATCGTTTAAAAAGTACCTTCTAGAAACTTCTTGAACAAATCAAATATGCTAATAGAAATAAACTTCAGAACTCATAACAAAAACTAATTCAACAATGAATGATTGATTAAATCAAATCTAAGATTGGAAGAAATTATTTATAAGCTATAAATTCATTAGTTGAGGTTTCTGTTTTAAATCATAATAAACTCCAAAAAAACATGAAATTATGAACAGTTATGTAAATTATGATTGTTCTTCTTAGTGTTAAAATGTTTTTTAATAATTTTGGACGAGCATTATTTTAAATTTTATTCATGGGATTTTTATTTAATTGTTTAAGTAAAAAATAATTGCATACTTTGGTTATTTGTAACCAATGAAAAAATAATAACAAGATATTTTCATTAAGTGTTTAGTATGTATGTACAGATTATCTTGAAACTACAAACTGAAGGATTTTAAATAAATGTGTATGATAATAATATATATATACTGATAACGTTATAAGATGGAGAGCATAATTAATATTGTTATTAGAAAAAAGCAAAATAATGGCCTAAAACTTATCAGAGTTGGGCAAACAGTATTATTAAATATAGAATTTAAAATACTAACTATTTTATTTTTAAAATATATAGTACGAGTGTGGTCTGAAAAGTTTTCAACCTAAGAAAAATACTTAAATTATATTTAAAATTAAAAATTATTTTTTTTTTACTTTTCAACATAGTCTCCTTGTAACTTTATACACTTCTTCAAGAGATCCTCCCATCTCTGTAACCGGTCCAAAAAGTACTTGGCATTTTTCTCTGCAGAATAATTGTTCACAAAGGTGATTGCCTCTTCATTTGATGAAAATCTCTGTCCTCCGAGCACAATTTTTAAATAAGGGACCAAAAAGAAGTCGCTTGGGGCTAGATCTGGTGAGTAAAGCGGATGGTCAAGCAGTCCAAACCGTGATTCGTGGATTTTCGCCATGGCAACCGCTGAAGTGTGAGACGGTGCAGACAGCTTTCTCATATCTAAATGTTGATTTAATATGTAAAAAACACGTTCTTTTGACTTGTTCATAACCTCTGCTATCGCTGTCACTTTAATTCGGCGGTCCTCTAGCACCATTTGGTCAACTTTGGTGATGTTTTCGTTGGTAGTTGCAGTTTTTGGATGTCCCGAACGTTCATTGTCTCCCAAGTCCTTAGGGCCACGTTTAAATTCAGCTGCCCAAAATTTTACTATGTTAAATGATGGTGCAGAGTACCCATACACAGAATCCAACTCATCTTTGATTTGCGTAGCCTATTGCCTTTCAAAAACAAATATTTAATGACAGCTCGATACTCGATTTTGTCCATTTTCACAAAAAATGGCTGAAACTTTGGTGGGTAACTGTCAACAGATGAACAATGAAATTCACTTGCTTTTAACGAATGCTGCCATCTTCACATTGCGGTTGGAAACTTTTCAGACCACCCTTGTATTTCAATCACCCAGTATTTTAATTGCTTGAGGAAAAATTATTTCAAATACAAATCACCAAAAGTATTTTAATAACAGAAATCAAAATAAAAACATTCCAATTAGTTGCGATTAATAACTAATTTGTTAAAAAATCAAAATTTGTTTTCCTTTTAAGAATGTGTTATGAGATGAAGAGCCAGAAGATATTATAAAATAATTAATTGAAAAAATGTATTTAATTAATATTAATGATGAAGATCAATTTGTAACTTAAATGGTGGTTTGTCAAACTATTTATTTTTAATGATTCTCCAAAGTATTACTTAAATTGAATCCTTTCTTTTTCTTTGATAATTTTTTTTTTTTTTCTAACTACTTATAACCTTACAGTCTTCCTCTCATAAGAACCTGGAGTTCTGAATAATTATTTTTCAGAGTTAATCAAACATAATTATATTTAAAGTTTAACATCAACCTTAAAATAAATTCGAAATTTGATTTTCATGGATGGGAATTCTTGTTTAAACAATCAGTCTAGCTACATTACATAACTAACAGGACACTAATCGATTTGATCATTTATTTCATGTATTGAAAATACATGTTTTGTATTTTGACAACTTATAAGGGGAGGCTACAGTCAGTGGGTCACTGATTTCAATCGAATTTTTTTCTTTGATACTACATCCAAAAATATTAGACTCATGTCCCAGTGTTCGTTCCAATGGGCCCTAAAACCCGAAAAAGAAATATTTTATGTAGTTTCAAAGAACGTTTATATTATTTATTTCTGCCTTATCTTTACCCAGATTTTAGGGCATTTAAAAAATATTTACTATTGCTTTAAAAGAGTTATAATGTATTATAAATTACAAAAACCAAGTGGCGTTTCCAGTAAAGTAGACCAAGTAAATTTTTGTTATAAAAAAGCAAGTTAGATTCGTTTTTCATGTGCTTTGAAACTCTTAAATACGAATTTTTATAGAAACAAAAAATTGCAAATTTTAAATACTTGCTTTTTTTTTCCCCGACCAATAACTAAAGCATTCATAACATCTCAGGATTTTCTCCAAATCCAACGTTAGTACAACCGTTGGAAAGCTGAATTACTGCTCTTTCAACCCAGATTGGAAACTTGTAGATTTCATTCCTTTTTTATTTATTTAGAAATATAACAATCTGTCATGTGGACAATAATTATACCATTCCTTTTTAAACCAGAAATTAAAAAAATGTTCTCAATAACTTTTAATTTATATCTTTTATTCTAATTTGTTTTTCTGAGGACCCACTGACAGTAGCCTTACCTTGTTTGAAAGAAAACACAAATACATTTTTTTGTATTTTAAAAAGAAAAAAGTTACAAAAGCAATTGAAATACAAATAAAACTAAGCAATTTTCTATTCAGCATAAAACTAATCTATTTTCTAAAATAAATAAAAACTTTAAAAATATTTATCATAACAAATAAAATAAACAGTAAAAAAAATCAGCACATATGTAAAAGGTAATGGCTATTCAAAGGATAAAATGTAATAACTTAAAAACTATTAAATTAAAAACAAAAATGCAAAGAGTGCATGGGCAAAACTTACATGCTGAACAGTAAAAAAAAAAAAAGAAAAACAACTACAGAATTTATTTTTCAAAATTGTGATGAAATAAAAGTGATTATCGTCCAAGGTTTCCATATTTTCAATATTATTGAAAAAATTAAACAAAAATTTGTTTATGTATACATTGACATACAGTTAGTAACAAAAATATCCAGATGACTTGAAAGTTCGCTCTTTTTTTAGCAATAAATAGCTAAACTTGAGGGGAAAATTTTCAAAATCACTTAATTTTTTTCAAATTTCAAGATCATTTAAAACATCAAATGTTAAATGAAAACACATTTCCATCAAATTTTCCATTTAATATTAATGATAAATATTCAAAGCTATACACAATATTTAGTCTCTTCTAAAGGAATTGTTAATACTAAGTGAATAAAAAAGGTTTTTACCCTTTTTTTCAATAATTATGTAAAACAAGTCAGAGGAAAAAACTTAGGCGTTACTATTCTTTTTTTTAAATTGAGTTATTGACATCAGTGGATTGATTCATAATGAAAAGCTGTATATTTGGGAATTTAATGCGAAAAAAAACACAAGGTTTTAATTAATGAACTTATCCAGCATAAACTTTTTCTTGCCAGATTTCATTCAAACCAATAACTCAATTTAAAAAAATGATGATACTTAATTTTTTCCCATGAACCTTCATTTGAATTGCTTACCGTCAAGATGTGTCGAACATTTTTTGAAATTAGACAAATAACCGTTTTAATTTTTCAATTATGAAAATGATTAAAGGTACAAAAAATTGGTGGGATGGTAGGCTAAAGTATAAGTACCATTGCCTATGGTAAAAGTTCAAAGATTAGATAAATTTGTTAACGGGAGAATTGAACAAGGGAGATATGCATATTATAGTCCTGAAAATTAAAAACAAGTCCTAGAAGAGTTCATCTCTGAAATATTTAGAAAAATAGGAAAGCATGTTTATTCACAAATGTTAGAATTTTAAAAGAAGCATCAAATAAAGTAAGAGAGCCCAGGAAAAAACAGTTTGTGAGTAAAAAAATAAAAATTGTGGTTTGCAAGAGTTTCAAAATTATTCAGCCAATTATCGGAGTAATTTAACTATTTGTTATGAATCTAAATCCAATATTTTTTGTCCTGGTAGTTGTGTTAAAATCTAGAGAAGGCATAAAGAATTGTTTATTAGTTTAAAAAATAATAAGTTATTTCAATTTTTAATGAAAATTTTTGTTACTGACTGTACATGGCAAGTTTTCTGTTTCCAAAATATATAATTGTAGGATGGAATTCCTTAGATACAATCATGTGCAGAGTAGGCAGTAACTACCTGCAGAACATTTATCTGGAAGAAGTTGACCATTCGCTATTCTACGGGCGAGCTGATTTCCTATTGAAGGTTTCCATTTCCTTTTCGGTGAATTAGCACAAGAAGAAGATGTACCCGGAGTAGAAGATCCCGAGTCACAAGAAACCTCTTCTCTTGCAGAAATACGTTCGAAATTTTGAGACAATAGTTTGACCCGTCCACCATTATACTGTGGAAGATCTGGTATAGCATTAAGACCAGGATCTTTCACTGGAGCTTCCCATAAATCTTTTCGAAACACGACTTCAAATGCTTTCGTGTCTTTGTTTTTTTCAGACAACAGCTTATTGATTCTTTTTTGTGTTGTTTTCACCCTCGAAATGGCCATATTTACTTTTGGTTTGGGTGGCTTATGTGCAACCACAGGATGATTTTCATTGTTTGAGTTAATTTTCTTTGCATCTCTATTTTGATACTTTTTGATCAAAGCATCAGGAGGACTTGGTTTTACAGGGCCATCACCCATTGGAATAAAAAATGATTCATTTTTTTTATTATCAAAATCACTCAAAGCAAAAGGAGTTTCTGGGCGACTTTTGGAAGCACTGATTCCAACCAATTCTTTCATACCTGCTTCTTGAAGGCTACGAGTTCTAGAAACAGTTTGCTTCATGGGTATTTCATCTAAAGCATCATCAGGAAGTTCTTTTAAATCTCCAGCATCAGTCAATATACTTTCTGTGCTGCGGAATACTTCCTTATTCCCAAACAAATATTGATACTCACTCTCATCAGTAAGAATACTTTCTGTACTACGACAATTATTTTTAGACAAAAAGAAACTAGCACTTGAATGACGATCCCAATTTTCATTAGAATCATCAGCTAAAATATTTTCTTCACTATGGAACTTTGTTTTTTCCCTAGATGAATCTTTAAAACCAAAGGCACTAGCTGATCTTTCTAAAATTTGATATTCACTAATACAACGTCTGGGTTTTGAACCAAAGCCGGAACACTCTTCTAAAGAATCTGAACTATACTCACTTATATCAGATTTATCTGAGTTCCTATCAGTTTGAGGTAAAAAAATATCACTTTTAAAAATTTCGTTTAAGTCATCACATGATTTCGACTCGCGACCATTATCAGTACACTTTTCATTTATATTTACATAAAAGCTACAAGAATAACGTTTATACCTATTTGCTTCATGAGCTGCAAATTGCATATTGATTTCTGTATCAGTAAAGTTAGTAGGGGAAAGTTTATCATAAATAGGAGAGCCAGTTAAAGAAGTTTCCATTGATTTGGACCCGGATCTGTGCGGGTTTACTGATAGCTGGGATAGGTTAAGACTGATGGGGCGATCAGATCTATTGTTAGTTGAGTTAGTATGTTTAGGCCTCCTAGTAAATGTGCTGGAGTCAATCTTTTTACCTTGCTGAACTGCACGGTGGCGTGGAGTGGGTTTTGGATGATCACCTCCTCCACCGCCACTACTATTATAAACCCCTTGCAAGCTTAAATCCTGTATACTTTGGCTCATTTTTAAGTTAGAGCGATAGCCAACCTAAAAAATAAAAATAAAATTTAAGTCTATCTAATCAAACATTCATGATGAAAATACTTTTCTAGATCGGAAACTTACACTTTGCAGTTGTCTTCTAGTTTCTTGAATTCTTCTTTGAAGTTCTTCTCTTTTACTCAGAGCTTCTGAATCATTCTTAGCCACTTTTGCAGCTTGTATCACATTACTATTTCTAACTCCTATGTTTAAACTAACATGATGTTGAGATGATAAACTTCTTTTTCCTACAATTAAGTTTTAATTAAGTAATCCTTTTTTTAATTTTTTTAAATAATTAATAGCATGATTATAGTATTTTTAAATACCTTTTCTTACTGGAGTCAATGATTCTTCTGCTCCACTTAAGGATTCAAATGTATTTTTCAAATACATCTCTCTATGGCCTATCACATCTAATGTGTCAGAGCTGAAATTGAAGAAGATCTGAGAGAATGAAAAGAATAGGCAAGGATCAAATTATCTGTTTATTTCTTAATTACATAGTAACATTTAAAGTAAAAACTCTGTTGAGGTGCAAACATCACACTATTTTCACTTACCATCATACTTCAATAAGAAATAGATATTAAAAATTATATGGTAGATTGATGTTACATGGATGGTACAATGTATTCATTTAAAAAATTAATTACCATATTTCTAAAACATACGGTATACTATATTTTTCAAGGGTAGTAGAATATACAAATTTGTAAAGTCTCAGGAAGAAATATCAGACTTCATTTTGAGCAAACACCTACCTTAAATACAAAATTTCAATTTCATAAGTTTTCATTTAAGAGCTAGGTTCTTCGCACACGCACACGAGCATACACACACACTTGGGCACAGACTTTGGGGGCGATTACCCTTCTCCCGTAAAAAAAAAAAAAGAAAATTGAAATGTGAAACAAATAATCTTCATGAATGAATAAAATATGTAAACTAAAATTAATGGAGAAAATAGGATAATATGATTAGATAGTTAAGGCTTTGAAGTAGCTATGTGAGTATTTTATCACACCCTGAATTTTCATAAATATAAATTATATAATACATATAAATTTTCATTTACATTTAGAGATGATAATAGATAGCAACATATCCTAGACATTTATGATTCATTTACTCTTCCATTTTTACTTGATGTTCTCATGACATTTTCTGCAGCAAGGTTGAACAGCATTGGTAGGAGTTGATCTCACTGCTTTAAACTTTTATAAAATTTGAAGACTCTCTTCAATCTTACCGATTTCCCAGGAACTCGCTCAGTTATGAAATTCCAGAGTCATAAGCTGCTTTAAAAGTCATCTATATCCTGAATTCTTCCTATTGTTATTCGAACACCTGTTATGCATCCTTTCTGTCTGAATACTGGTTGGTGGCCGCCTAATATATTTTCATTGCTTAGTAGTACTTGGCCCCTATAATTATTACAAACTCACAGCCTTTCATTAAGATATGACACATAAGACCCATGTCCTTAGCTTCTGGTAGAGTTTTTGCTGCCAATAGTATCCACATCCAGAACATTAACCTCTTGTGGATCGAAGTCTTCAGCATGATCTATGCTGATGAAATCTTTTGAATTCATGGATTTTCTGAATTGAGATTGAGAAGCTGCTGAAAATGATCTTTACAGAACCTTAGTATCTCATCCTTTGATGCCATCAGTTCACATTATTTTCCTCTCTTCCTCTATTCGTGTGTTTCTCGCATTATATTATTCCCTTAAAAACCACTTCTTGGCCTTTTGTTTTTCCGAAGTACATATTATTTCCTTAATTTTTTCTTTAATTTCTTTTTACTAGCCCTATCTTCAATACCTCCCAATGTTAATCAACTGTGAGGTCCTCTGACCGAGCCTGAGGGTTTGTATTTATTTTTTAGCTCAATTTTGAATTCTCTTTGCATCTTTCTTACCACTTGATCCACTATTTTGTTAATTCCTTTCAGTCTCTGAGATTGATTCTAGTCAGAGTTCAATCCGAATCACAGCCAGCTTTATGGTAACTCCTTATATCTTAGACGGATCTTTGAGGTCTCTTATACACTAGTAGCATGTGGTAAGTCAAGCTTTTCAAACCTTTAGGTCTTACTGAGGTGAAACTGTTGATGTTATACTTTTATTATAAGTATTGTATAAATATATTTTATGGAGAATGTTTTATATAGAAATGTTGATTTGATTGTTGATGGAAGAGTGTCTTCGAATGTTATGAGTCTATTGATACAAGTTCTAATCAGACATGGACAGGTTCTATTTTTATTTATTTTGCAGTGGACCCTCAGAATGAATCCCCACCTTCCCATTTGGTTAAGGTTGGTGTATTTCTAGAACTTTTAAATAGTTGATTTTTATTTTATTATAACTTTTTGTAGATTTTATACATTTATCATTTTACATAATTTTTGCATATAATAATAAGTTCCAGCACTTGTGTTTTTTGTCAATTAAAATCAACTGAAACCTACACACACACATAAGACCATTTTGCAAGACTTGTATATTAGGATATGGGGAACCTTAAAACCTGTATTTCGTTGAAAACTCGTTTTCAAAATTTTTCATGAATGCAATACTTTCCCTTACTGTATATTTCATAAAAGATAAATGAAAGTAATATTATTTAACGCTATTATCTACTAATCTGAACAAAAACAAAATTATAGTGATATAAACTATTTAATGCTAGTACATATCGGTTTATTGCATAAGAACATTTTTGGAGATTTCAACCTTATTTATTAACAAAACTGATGGAGATAAAACTGTCCATAACATAGATTTTTTTGGAAAATGAATAGTAACAATAGTTTAACTTATTTCTAGCTTTAGCTCTGAAGATTAGAAGAGATTCCCTAAATGTTGACTGAATAAAGAATTTTGAGCTATTGTAAGCCTATTGGCTTTTTATTTTTAACATTTTAAGAGATTTTCAGTAAAAATATAAAAAGATATGTTGAATCCAATCATTACCTTACAGAATGATGAAGATGATCTGATGTTGGAGTTTGATCGTCATCATCACTCTGGCTACCAGACACAGATCTGCTTGCACTTGATATTTCACTCGTTACCATCAAGAGGTCGGGTCTTTTTGATTTTTTCATTGATTTCCGTAATTCAACAGCATCCATATTGGTAACAGGAAACTCCCTGACAATGATTAGCAATCAGAAAGTGAGTGGATTGAATGAAATGTTTTAAGAAAATAATAAAGAAACATTTCAGACACTACTGGATATAAGTGAATCTGACCTTGTGGCTTTTATAATGATTAATGCATTATAATCACATAATTATAGATAATAAAATCATCTCTAACGAAAAATTGGCAGGTAAAAAAAAATTCATGGTGACATCAATATTACATGAAAGAATAAATAATAACTGTAGATTACTACAGTAAACAAAAGTTAGAAAAAATTTAGCATTAATTCTGTCAGTGCTTTAAAAAAGGCTGATGAAGGCTTTGGTGGACTCAAACATAATTTAAATAAATACACACTAGCAATACTAAGAAAGACAAAAGAGTGTGAATGCTAGATGCATAAAAAAACACAGGTCTTGGAATTATAGATGTCCATTAGATATATCAAATTTCCAATGAAATTTACAACACATCAAATCATACATTCTATAACTTCTTCACTAAACTCTTAAAAAGAGAGCACATCCGAAAATGGTTAGATAGTCAGTCCAATATAATTTTTTTCAGAAATAAATAAAAATGACACACACTTTATGACCATAAATTAATGACATGTCACCCTACTTTCAGAGAAAATTAATTTTTTTTTTAGTTAGAAAGCCTTAAGCATATTAATTAAATATAAACTTACAACAATTATAATTAAGTATGACAATTTTTAGGAATACACATTTTTTGCCCATGAAAATCCTATTTAGTTTCCATAAAAACTTTTATTTCTCATTCAATAATATAAAAGTAAATATTAACTAAACAAATTAAAAGTCATTAGTTTTTATATTATTTTGTCTAAAATCTTTAGATTTTCAACAATATATTATAAATTTATACTACTATTCTTATTTCTGAAATTGGTTTAAAAATGTTTCTCCTTTGGTTGATTATTGAATTCTTTCATAGTTTGTATCAGTCCATTTATAATTTCTACTAACCATGAGAGACTGTTAATTATTTTTAAAAAGTCATATTAAATATACTATAGAGAGAGTCATTTTGAAAATTCAGCATTTAAGTCTCACCAGACAATTTCAATGAGGATAAGACCTACCAACACTTTCACTGAGTACCCTACTTTTAGTTCAGTATAAATTAATATATTTTTTAAAGTTAATAAACCTTAAGAGCTAGTTTAATTAAAAAATAGAATTTTAGAATAATAGAAAAATAGAATAGGCAATTTTATGCAATACATATTATTGCTTTATCAAACTAAGAATAATTTTCTCATTTATTTTACATTGAAATTCTGTTTATTTTCTGTGGAAAAATTTATTTTTCATTTAATGCTAAAGTAGACGTTATTAACTTTAAGTTGTTCAACGTTCTCCATTACCTTCTAGGACTTTATTTGTTAGCTATTACGTTTTCTAAAATCTTGAGTTTTCCTATGGTATATTATTATTACTCTTATTTTCAGAAGTATACTAATTTCTGGAAATAATAGTATATATGTATGTATATATATATATATATATATATATATATATATATATATATATATATATATATATATATATATATAAACATACTAAAATATTTTAAATCTATTAAAATATTTGTTCCATTCTCTCTTTAAGTTAATTACCAATTCTTTCACAGTTCATATTTATCCATTCTGCATTGATATAGACAATGAAAGACCTGTAATTACTTATAGTAATCAAAACAAAAAGTACTTTAACGGAAGAAATTTTGGCATTAAAGTCCTGTCATAATATTTCAATAAGGATATATATATATATATAAAGTAAATACCTAATAGGTTCATCATGCGGAGGAATATAGAGAGGTCTTCTCGTATCACTTGATTCACCTTCAGAACAATCTTCAACATCTCCATCATGTTCGGTACTTTCAATGTCCTAAAGCAATGGAATATTTAATGTAATAACTATAAAAAACTATTTAATAAAATAAACTAAACTAATTTAACTATGAAAAAAATATTACTTTTTTGCAAAATAAGTATTTCTAAAATACCTCATATTTAAAACTACCAAGGGAACTATCATCTGTATGCGGTCTCTGGTTGATTTCTGTGATTTCATTCCCTCTTGTCATGGTTACTTTACTGTTAATCATCTGTGAAAAAATATGTCATAAGGAAATATATATGGAAGTAATTATCATTTCTTAATTCTAATATTAATAAAATCGGGAAAATATACAGGAATCAGGAAGAACCCCCTATAGCCTAAAAGGAGAGAAAAGAGAAAAAAGTGTTGTGTTGACCGACATGGATTGCGAAAGACTTATATTTTTAATTTGAGAACAGAATACTCTGGAAACATTACTTCCACAACTATAAGGCATATTGAAAGAAAAGAGAACAAAAAATCAAAGGATTAGAACCTAAATTAGAGGAGGAAAATTTTTCTGAAACATGTGAACTGGTGAGTGTTAAACTATGCAATAATTCTTACAAAATAATAAATATCAAACCAGGAGAGCTCAAAAAATACCACTCATAAATGAGGTTGGAAAAAAAAAAATGTATCTTGGGCCAAAGAATATATACCAGATATCAGTGATTTTTGGAACCTGGTAATATTTTCTATTAGGAATGTTGTAGAATCTGGATCAAATTAGTTTTCAGTTACCATTTAAAGAAAACTGCAGCAGAACCCCATCCAATGCTTGTTGAAGCTTACGGTAAACATGTTCTTGGTAAATCACAGTGCTTTGGGTAGTTTATAAAATTCAAAAGCGGTGATTTTTATGTGAGAAATGAAGAACATAGAACACCTCAAAAAAGTTGAAGACAGTGAATATCTGATTTGTATTGAGTATTGCATGAAAAACAACCAACAACAAAAAGTGATTTCGCTTTATGATAATGCACTATCACACAAAGCAAAACCAGTGAAATGCCTCCTCAAACTTTTCTGTTATTTAAATAATTGATGAACAGCCAAAGTGCAAAAAGTCATGATAGTGATTTAATTAAAAAATTAATAAAATGGCATTAGATAACTTGGGCCGTTTATTTTCAAAGTGGCGTAAGTCTATTTAAAAAAAAAAAAATGAGATATCACGTAATTTGGTATAAATTTCTTATGTATAACTATTTAGTATTTAATATCTTTAAAAATGCGCATGCTTTGTTCAATTTAAAATTGGTCGGTAAAAGAAATTGCTTTGCCATCGATTATGAAATTGGTGTAAATCCAATTTCCATAAACAACAGTTTTGTCCAATGCTTGGGACGAAACTACCGCTTCCAGAGGATCGCAAGTAGTAGCTTCTTGCTGTTTGAGGCATTTACAAAATGTGACGACTCAAGGTCATGTTATTGCATATAGTTATATCTGTGCTGGGAAAATTGAAATTTACAAATGGCATTGATGTGGTTGATGGCTGTCCAATCGTTGGAGGTAGTTGATTACAAATTTTCACTCTCCTGGCATTCACACCTTCCAAACAATGCAGATTGCGGTATCATAGAAATAGCATTATGAAAAAAGAATTTCCTGTACACACCATCGGATTATTATGATATCATAAAACAATGTAGACGACATAATAAATTCATTTTACATGAAATAAAATGGCAGAATTTTGTTTCTACAAAAAATCTTCAAAACAATGAAAAAAAACAGACAAGAAGAAACTAATGCAGAAAAGATAATTTGATTGCAAATATGTTTGATGACGTTCCTCAAAAATGTACCATATTCCATTTTATATAAAATATCGATGGAGGACGGCGTGGGCGTGCAGAAGAGTTGTTGGCAAATTGTGGGAGGTGAAACCCAGAATCGACTTATGGCTATACAGAACTGCGATTAGACCCTTATTCCTCTATGCAACAGTAGTGTGATGGCATAGGGCAGCTGCAAGCAGGTCTAGAATGCTGCTTGGCATGCTTCAAAGACGTGCATGTTTTATGATGATGGGAGCTATGAGCACTACTCCCACTACTGCAATGGAGGTTCTTTTGAATCTGACACCATTGCATTCAGAGGTGGAAGCACATGCTCTCAGAACTGCCTATAGATTGGATAAACTGGGAACGAGATCGAAATTCCTGACATTTCAGGAACATGGGATCATTTATGATAGGACTGATAGCAATGAGGTACTTGCGATGAACTCTGTCCTTCAAGTTGATAATTATAAAGACATACTATATAATTTGAACATAAGCAGGAATAACTCACATAGACTATGTAATGGAGTTAACTGTTATACCAATGGCTCCTTAATGGAGTAGGAATCAGAGGCTGGCATCTGGAGAAAGGATATACCTAATGAGGGAATATTCATATCTCTAGGTAGATATACGTCCATCTTTCAAGCCGAGATTATAGCGATAGATTTTTTTACCCAATCACTTATTAAGGAGGACATTGTGAATAGATTGATAACAACATATACGCATAGGCAAGCGGCAATTGGGACCCTGAATAGTTATGCAAGTCGCTCCAAGTTGATGGATGAATGTAAAGGCAATCTTAACCTTCTTTGTATTACTAACAAGGTGAGGGTAGAATGGGTACCTGGGCACTCAGACATTCCATGAAATGAGAAAGCCGATTACCTTACTAGGAAAGACTCTGCACAAGTACCGGTTGCAGCAGCGCCTATTTGTGGGTTAACCTTGGCTTTGCCGAAAGGCATATTAAGGCAATCGTGGGAAATAAATTCATGCAACATTGGGAACAGACAAGGAAACAAACTCATTCCTATTCAAGTTATTGCTAGTAGGGCCCTGTCATAAGAAAAGTAATTCATTTCTTTTAATGGACAGGAGTACCATTAGGCGTGTGACAGGACTGTATAATGGTCACTGTCAATTAAATAAGCACCTTTTCAATTTGGGTGTAAGTGAGACTCCCACCTGTAGGCTATGTGGCCTGGAGGATGAAACAGCTTATCACATTATTTGTAGATGTGATCATTTCGCTAGACTGCGATACTTTCACTTTGGATGTGATTGTATCACTGACCCTAAGCACTGATTGATCCTATTAGTATTAATAGGTTCGCAAAGGCATCTGGCCTGATTTAATTGAGTCTAGGACGACGCACAATAGGCCTTTTTGAGGTCGCGGTGCACCCTTAAGTCGGAGCATAAAAAAATAATATAGGAAGAGAAAGTATTGTGATCGAGTTTTAAACGGATTCGAATCTGAGTTTTCAACTTTTTCGTGAAAATTGACGAACCGGAAGTGTCACTTTATATCAACGGTGAAACACATTTTTACAATTTTTTCAAAAACGGCTCCAACGATTTTGATTAAACTCGGTGTATCATTAAGTGGTCTTTAATATTATTTAGGTCATATACCCATTGATGTCACTTAAATGCCTGATGTTCAACACATCTTCCTTTAATGTACTTTTAATTTGGTTTATTTTAAATAATTACTATCTTTCATTGTTAGGAGTTATGAAAAAAAGGCTAAATATAACATTTGAAAGAATTTGATGATTGAATACAGGAGAAAAAAAGAAAATGAATCTCTGGAAATAATAATCAGAAGGTATACATTGTAATATGTCTCTTACATTTTACAAATAATAAAAATATAACCTTGGAAGCTCACTTCTTACCGTTGGAATACTTCCGAAATAAAGAAGAGGTTATTAAATAATAAACAAAATTATAAGAGTATTAATATATTAAATTGAAATTTATGATTGTTTTACCTAGGGTGTGGGTTACTGACTATTCGTACGATCCATAATCAACGGATCGTACAATCCATAATCAACCATTGATATAATAAATAGGATTTTTGTTATTTTAATGGTATTAATGATTTGTTAGCTTTAAGCTTTAAGCTTTAGCTCGGTTAAAAATGCACTTCAAAAATATTATAATAGTCGAACATTACAAGAAAATAATTTCTATTCAAAGTATAGCGGTTAGTGAAAGTTGTGTGTTGTGCGCACCAGATTTTTTATTTTGTTATTATTTGTAAGCAAAGTTAGATTAATATGAAATATATATTAAGTAATATTTGATTTTTCAAAATTGAAATTAAACCATTTTTACAATTGACTAATTTTGAAAGTGGTGTAAGTCCATTTATACCCCGTAATTATAAATTATTTTAGTTAAATTTGCCTAAAACAAATTTATATAATCAAATTACATAATGATAAATCAGTAGAAACATTTCCAGACTTGATATAATCAAGCTAAATTTTTTAATTGACAGATATACTAACCTTTGACTATCTCAAAACAAGATAAAATGGACTTACACCACTTTCAAAATAAACTGTCCACTTCTTAGACAATGTTATCTATCCAAAAAAAAAATTAAAATATCCCGAATATCTAAAATTTTATAAGATGTAAAATTAGATGCAAATATAAATAGAAATATGGCCAAGTAGAGTACATCTCAATAAATTTTTCCATCAATTTACTAATAAAAGATACAGTCAAACTAATGTATATATATATATATATATATATATATATATATATATATATATATATATATATATATATATATCCTTTTTTAAATATGCAGATTATACACAAAATATTGATTGTTAATATTTAAAAACAATTTTTAAAAAAATTCGTTCTGAAAAGATTTTTTAGAAATTCTGCTACGAGAATAGATGAAATATAAATGAGAACTTCTGTATCACAGGAAAAAAATGGCAACTAATATTTATTAATTGAATTGAACATTTTATAATGCAGTCGCCATAAAAAGTAAAAGTGGTGTATTTATATTTTAACTAATTTTATCTGCAAGTGAAGAAGTCTGCGTGTTTTGGGGATGATAATCAAGTTTCTATCAGTATATTTCAGAGCTATAATTGCTGTTGAGGTCTGGAAGTATAATAGAGTGAAACAACAATAAACAATTGCTGTTTGAGGTGATGATGGCCAAGTGTGTTAAAGCGTTAACTTTAACATTCTGAAGTCTGGCGATGTAGGTTTGAAACTGGCCTGAGAGAATTGAAATTTATTTTGCAGTGGCCCCACTGAATGAATCTCGACCTAGCTCTGGTTAGAATAGGTTTGAAGAGAAGAATAGTTTGGTTGAGAAGAATAGTTCTCTTCATTACCCACGACAGTCAACCATTTACCAATTAGAATAGGTTTGGTTGTACTTCTGGAACCAATCTCCTTTATCCCATAAATGATGAGGTAGGGGGTAATCAAAATAAGTAAATAGAAGAATTGTGGTTTGCTATATATGTAAAAAAATAGAGGAGACATTAAAAATCATGAAAATGGTCACTGAAACTTTTCCCAACAGTAAATGGTTTTTATTAACCTTTTAGTCATCTCAGGTTTACCACAATGAACTCAATACAAATTGGATTGCAATCTATTGACATGGATAGATAAGATAACCCACTGCCATCGCTCATCTGGGTAAAAACTGGTTGTTCAATCAGTTAAGAGCTTGCCTCCCTTCCGCAATATCCGCATCTTTTCCCTCATCACTCCTCCCTGGGACTCCATCTACAATTCTCATTTATATTTGATCAACCCTTGTACAACAAATAGTTGACTTACAGATTTGGTCTCTTGCTCCAATATTTCACGTAAACTATCTGGACAGGCCATAAAATCTATATTTGATTCACGAGTAACCTAAAAATAAGCATTAAATCTTTAAGATAATTAAGAATTTATGAACTATTGAACAATCATTTAGTAATAATTTAGATTATTTTAAAAAATAAATAGGAAACAAATTTATCAAGCAAATTTAGCCAAGAGTATACACATCAAACTAAAAAAAAAATATTACAACTAGATTTAATCTACATAAAACAAATAAATTCTTGGCTCAATATCCCTGAAAGACACAGCCTATTTGATTGGTAGACTGCTGTTATATTAATTACGAATTAGAGTCGATAATATATAGAGACTAGAATAATTACTTTATTTTTGTCTTCTACATAGAATGCAACTATTAGTAATCTTCAGAATATCTGACCCCAGGGACCGTAACCGCAGCTAACGTGTTAACACAATTCTTCGAAGAGGGGATAAAAAAAAAGTAACTGTGGATTGAGAATTTAATTTTACAAATAACTACACAAATGATGTTCAACTGTTTTGTATTTTAAGTATGTATAGAAATATACGTGCAAATGTATAAGAATAGAAAAAATTATAATTAAGTTCATATAAAAATTTAGTTATTTTTCAACAGTTTTACTTTATTGATCTCAGTTTCAATTGCCAATTTTAAAATATTTGACATCTCTTTAATAAACATTGCCATATTCAGATGTTAATAGGAAACCAAACCTAGCTATCCAAAAATTTAATACCTCTCCGCTATGTCATAACTATGTTTGGGTTCCGTTAACCCCTTACTATAGGCAATGGAACAAATAAAAGCTAACATCTGTTTAATAACAACAGTTTTACTTGATTGAAACTGAGACAAGATTTATCGATTAGATCAATACCAAAAACAGATTAAAATTATCGCCAATATATCAATGGATATACTCTATTTAAACTCGAGGAATACCTCCCAAACAGACACTTGTTGTATGTGGGAAACATACGAATTCAAGTATGTTTTCCTCAAATTTTCAATAATGATTATGGGCGAACACTAGTTTGTATTATTATCTTGCCTATACTTTAACATTATATGTAGAATTTTCCATAAGTTATTTGTATAAACAAATATGGTACTATATTTTGACATGGGCTGTAATAATAATTTCGAAAATAATATATAATTACTTTTGACCGAGTTAATAAAACTCATTTTACTTTGATCTCTTTGCCACTAAATAGATTTATATACCTAGTATTAGTGTCAGCATAAAACTCATTGAAAAAAAAAAAAAACTTAACTTGGACCACTTGACTTATGAACCTCTTTTATTTATTTATTCTTTGAAATACTACTTACTTTAGAAAAAAAAAGAGATTCTCTCTTCAAAATGGATTTTCCCATCTCTGCACCACTGTCCACTGAACTATCTTCTTTACTACCATCAGAATCTAATCGCTTATCTGAAAAAAATATTAACTAAATATAAAATTATAAATAATATATAGTTTAAACATTTATTCTAAACTATGTAAAAACTTTTAACAAAAAATTTTGAAAATATTGAAAAACCTAAAACTTTAAGGATTGGTACATAAACTAATGATACATATAGTAAGAAAGATACTTATTGTGATTGTTCTACTATTAGGTACCTACCAACAGCACAAGAGGTAAGTGGTTAAGAATATACAATATTACTACAAATGTTTACATAATTTCTTACATTTGAAAAATCCATATCTCGAAAGAAAAGTACCTAGGTATCAACATAAAATTTTGCAGGGCTATAATAATGCTGATGAAATTAGAATAGAATTAGGGTTTCATGGCCTGAATGATTTGATATGGATCGATTCAAACAATAACTAATGATAAAACAAATTTCAAGGTATTTAAAATTAATTACTATCTTAGTAGTAATAATATCAACATTGTAGCTAGTAATAATGGTCCTCCTTACCTTTTGGCAGAATAACTGGATCATCAAGGACAGACTTGATAGTTAATCCTGATTGCCCAACACGCTGAGCCCACCGACCTCTAGGACCTGCTGGTGTTCTACCCAAACCAGAACCAGCTTCAGAAACGTCCAGTTCTTTCTTTGCCCATACAGGGAGTTGTCCAAAACTATACCTAAGACAAAAAAAAATTCTTATTAATGATTTTAACTTATCAATATTTAATTCTCAATTTACTGAGACGTAGTTTATTTCCAATTATAGTGATATTAGTTTTAATTAACACATAGGATAGGAGACAATTAATTAAAAAACATGTTATATTAAATACAATAGTAGAAATTAATTTTAAAATGTTAAAAAGTTGTTTAAAAACTGATAAAAAAATACATTTTCATAGTATATTTTATTTTATTTTTCATATAAAATAAAATAAATTATTGAAGGAAGTTAGGTGACTGTTCTATACATTATGAGTGATAATAGGACGCAGTCGTAATAGATGTCACCAGCACTGAAGGTGTTCAAGTGTACTCAAACACCTTCAGTGCTGGTAACATACCCAGATGATGACTGACATGCTTGGGTTGAAACGTCGGCAAATTAAAATCTTAAAAAAACTGACTACATTATGAATATTGACCAAAATAAAACTATTATTTTCTTAAGACTATTATTTCTTGAACCAACAAAACTAAATTTAGAAAAAACATGAAAGATGAATATCAAAATTACCTGTAGTCAGCTTGGTTAGCATTAGAATCAAAAGTATCCAGATTACCAGGAACAAAATCATCATTATCAATATGGAGACCATTTAATATTTTAGTGGTAGGTTTCCTGAAATAAATTTGAAAAAAAAAATGGATAACACAACCTCTAGACTAATAATTTAAAAGAACCAAATATTTTCAAAAAATATTTTAATTAATATCTTTCTAAGGTAACTCAAGAATTAAATAAAAAAAAAAAAACGTACTTAGCTCTGGCTTGTTGCTGTGATAACCTTGCTTGCATTGTCACAACCATATCATGAGGAACTGTCCATACAAGAACACAACCATCACCAGAAGCAGATACCAATCGAGTGCAATCAGGGCTGAATCTTAGGCCAGTCACCAGTTCTGAGTGTCCAGACATAGTAGCCATACATTCTCCAGAATAATAGTCATATATACAAAGCGTTTTGTCGGTGCATGAAGTAGCAACAAAAATACCACTTGCATCTAATGTGACCTGAAATAAAACTAAAATTTTAAGAATAATAAAAAATTGCTGAAAAATAAGAATTTATTTTGTTAAGGTGTCATATCATGTCAGACAATTGTTTACACATAATAAGTCTCAATTCCTGACAAATTAAACCAATCCTATTTAAGTGATTAATAAACTAGACTTTAAAAATTACTGTACCTTTATTAAAGAACCATCTTCACCAATGGAACCTTTAAATGTCTTACTATGCTTCCCTGAAGACACATTGTACACCCTAATATTTCTATCTTGGCAAGCAGTTATTACATGTTTGTGGGATACATCAACTTCCATATCATAAAGAGTAGTTTTTCCAGCTGCATTGTACATTCGAGTAAATTGAATCTGGCCATCTGTACCCTAGAGCAATTGATAAGTTTATATTAAATAACCTTAACAGAACTATTTATAAAGTTAAATTTATATCTATATGTATATGTAATATATATATTTATATTACAAAAAGATGTGCTTTGTGAATACCAGAATTCACTGAAAGTCTTGATTAGTTCACCAGAAATATTGATGTTTCTTGCAACATTAAAAAGTTTTTAATCTTCTGATGGCTATTTCACTTAATTATTTACCAGGATCTTCAATAAATAGTTCAGAACTTTGGTATTTTGAAGAAGGGGAGTGGAGGAGGGGTTGACCATCATTTTCCACACTTAGAATACAGTCAACATTTTTTTAAAACATATTTAATATGATTACCCGATTGGTCATGATATTTTCAATCATTGTGGGTTCAAAACAGTTATGTAATCTACTAATTTTGATGATTCTATTTATCAGAGCCTTGTTTTAAATATACATTTTTTTTAGCTACTTTTTATTTTAATTGATCTTCAAGAAATTCATTTTTTAAATTTTAGATGTAAGCAGCATTTATACCAATGTGGTAACTTACAACTACTATTTTAACAGATTTTCATTTTCATACATTTTGTATCAAACCATGGTTTCCTTTTTTTTTTTTATTCCCCAAGAGACAAATGATATACCTATTTAATGTACATCATCCCGTTACTGAGACTGGGCTTCCTCAAAAAGTCTTCGCCAGTTTGTTCGGTTGCTGCAGCTCTCCAGTTTTGAACTCCAAGAAGGGACTCCACATCTGCAGAGACCGAGTCCATCCATCTCACGTTCATTGGTCCAACTTGAGATTTCTTGTGGAGCCCTTCGGTGAGTATAATTTTTGGAATCTTGTTGGTAGCCATCCTTTGCACATGTCCTAACCCATCAAAGTCGTCCAAGCTTCACAAACTTGACTATGTCAATATTGTCATATAGTCTCGTTAGTTCGACATTCCTCCTTCTTCTCCAGACATCCCCCTATCTAACAGGTCCGAAAATTCGTCTAAGAATGCTCCTCTTGAAGACAAGCAGCTGAACTCATCCGCCTTTGTGAAAGCCCTAGCCTGTAAGCCATAAGTAACAACAAGGCGGACCAGTTTCTTATAGAGCTAGATCTTGGTCTGGTTAGAGAGAGTTCTACTTTTAAAATACTTGACAAGGTCAAAGTAGCAACAGTTAGCTGCTGCAATCCTCCTGTTTACTTCCTGGGTAATGTCATTTTGGGAATTGATTTCCGAACCCGAATAGGTGAAACTGCTTACCTTCTGAAAACGGTACCCTCCCGCACCAAAATATCCACCTCCTGGTTCGGCTTCTCCAATCCTCATATATTTCGTCTTGGAATCATTATTAACTAGGCCAAGATCTCTAGAAGCACCTTCTAGAGCGAGGAATGATTCTCATAGGGCCCGTTCCGAAATGGCAGCAATATCGTAATCACAATTGCTAGGCCACAAAACATGCAGCACAAGGTGAAAAATTATGCATATAGGAAGATGGTGCAGCGGCATACAAGGGGTACACAGGAATGTTACCGCAATGAAAGGAGGGAGGAGAGAGAAGAGAAGAGAATGCAGGAGAACAATAGGATGAAAGACATCAAATACCTCAAACTTCACAAGAGAGCTGCATCTTTTTTCAACGGGTGAATGAGGGACGAACCGCATTCAAACTAAGAGTGGTGCATCATGCACGGACAAAGAAAGGTGCCTTCTAACGGATAAGCAGAACATCTTGGAGCAACAGGCTCTCACTTCAAGAAGATACTCCAAAAATAAGATGTGGAGGAAAATGTTGAAACAGGTAGAGAAGAGCCACCTGATGAAGACGAGGTTGAGACAGCCATTGCAAAATTGAAGAATAACAAGGTGCCAGAACAGGACGACATTCAAACAGAACTACTGCAGTATGGTGGACCTGAATTCAACAAGGATCTTCACAATCTCATACTTTCAGTATAGGACTTCAGTGGAAGTCTTGGGCTGACGAAAAGAAAAAAAAAATTTCATACTTTCTATTTGGCAAGAAGAAAGAATGTTTGAGGAGCGGACAAAAGGAATTATCTACCCGCTCCACAAGAAGGGAGATCAGCTGGAATGCAGCAACAACCTGGATATTGTTCTCCTCTCATCTACTTATAAAGTATTCTCAAATATCCTCTTCGAGAGATTGGTTCCACACTGGGATAGAGATTGGAAAGTATCAGGCAAGATTTAAAAGTCGGATTTGTCGATTTCAAATCCACATATGACAGCGTTGATCGACCAGAACTTTAGGGCCCTAAAAGGAATGAATATCCTGATGAAATTAGTGAGACTGATTAAGATGACAATGGCGAGCTCAGTGTATAGTGCGTGTAGGCGTAGATCTTTCTGACTCCTTTCTCACAAATTGTGGTGTTAGCTAGGGAGACGCTTTGGCCTGCCTTCTTTATAATTTTGCAGGGGAGAAAGCAGTAAGGAATTCTGGAATCCAACTTTATCCAAGTTTAACAGCACAGTCCAGCTTCTGGGTTATGCGGATGATTTCGATATTAATGTAATGAACTCTACTTATAATTTTTAAAATTACATAAATAATAACTAATTATTACTAGGAAACTTTTGTATTTATCAAGTAATACACTCAAATAAACAAACAAAATAAGATCTTGAAAACAAAAAATAAAACTTTTCTAAATGTTGTCATTCATTTCAAAACACAGTGAATTCAAAAGACTGGCCTGCCTCTGATAACGAGTGTTGCTTTATCTCGCAACTCCAAGAGATCTCATCTCATTTATTTACCAGGACAGTTAGTATTAAATTGAAGCATCATTAGAAGTTATTTGAATTTCAGTATAATTTTCATTTTTGTTATCTTCTGGTGGCCTAGTCATTGCTAGATGGAACTTTCATGTAGATTGGCCTTGGCCTTACAGGTATAACCTATAAATACCAATAAAGTTAATCATTTCACATTGAAATTAAATCAAGCATCTGAACCATAGAGATTAAACCAAGACTTGTCTGAAAAACCATCAGAAGTACAATATGCTGCAGTCCAGAGGGCATGATTTAAGGAGTCAGAGGCAAACCACCCAGTGTCCTGTGGTGAGAAGAGGAATATTTATTATGATTTGCCTCCATTCTGTTTGTATATGGACATTCCTACCCTGAGAAACACATAATCAACCAGACCTCTCTACCGAAGCCTGGGAGCGATTTTGGAGTCTGCATCATAGAGCTGTATTAAGTATTGAGTGTCATCATGATCTCGGACAGCCTTCTAGAGTGGCTGTGTGCTTCACTGAATCATCAATTCCACTAGCCCAAAGAATCTATCAATGAACCTATCTTTAGCTTCTTCTGTCCTCGATTATGAAATGATTTGAGTGATAACTGGCTTCCATCATTTCAAAAATATTTTAAAACAAAAGAAAGCAAATAAATAATGAATAGAAAAAGAGAAATGGTTAAAACCTAATAATATTTCTAGAGTGTATTTTTTGAATGAAATTCTAACTGTGCCAGTTTTTTTGGGATCGAGTATAGATTACAAATCAATATTATTGTTCATGAATAATAACGTCATTTTACATTTTTCAAATAAAAAGTCTTTTCCTTTAAAGAGATACCCACTAATCTTAAAGATTCAAGCTAAAAATTTAACTTACAGTTTGCAGTTGTCGAAAAATAATAGACTTGTCAGCTCCACATGACACCATTTGCAGATTCTGATGATTGTTCAAAAATCTTACAGCAGTGATTGATGAGGAATGATCATCAAGGGTTTGAAGAAAATTGTAACCCTAAATTAATTAAAAAATTGTTTATATATAAACAATAAATAATATGAAAAATTTATAAAAAAATATACAAACATTTACTCACTTGAGAAACATCAAAGACATGTACCAGACGATCTCTAGAAGCAGAAGCCAAGAGCCTAACGCCACATTCAGGGCGAGAGTATTCCAAACAAAGAACTTCTGCATCATGGGCTTCGATTAAACAGAGTTCTTCTAGAGATCTTGTGTCATGGACTCTAATAATAAAAAATAATTAGAAAATAAAAACAGTATTTTAAAAATCTATTTAAAAAGCATAGTTTCAAATATTTTTTTCTAAATAAATTTATCAGTAATAATAGTTTTGCAATCAATGAAATGGGCATCGTTTTGAATCACTTTCTTAAATCCCAAAATAATGAAACCAGTTCATTTTATCTCAATTGAAAAAGGTAACTATTTGCTACTTCTGGGACAATCTTCTCCGATTGCTGATGACTTTCCTCAAATATATTGATTCCGGTACAACTTCAAGTACTTCCCCATTAAAGATCAGCTGGACATCACATTGTTCTCCTCTTGAAAGAACTAAGACCTTGCTTTTGGAGGTGTCATTCCTTTGTGGATTTCTTCCTGCCATTCGAGGAAGGCTAACTACTTTAAGCTTGTTTCTCGTATCCACATCCACGTTTGATGTCGTCAGCATACAAAATGATTTGAACCATAATATTTCCTCATGCTCCATTCCCCAATGACCGTCCAAGCAGTACGACAAATTTTATGGATTTTATACATAAATAAGACAAATAAAATGGGATTAAGGCTGTCTCCCTGCCTCATAGCTCTCTCTATGCAAAAAGACATGGATTCCCTTCCATTGATCCTCACAACTACTTTCGTTTCCAGATAAATCAATTTAATTGCTATGATAAGATTGCCTGGAACATTTATATTGTCAAGCATTTTATATTTCTTTTCTAGGGACGTAGTCAAACACTGCTTTAAGATCCAGGAATGCCATCTCAAACTGAATCAATCTCTGCACTGCAATGCTTCTTAATATGAGCATGTAAAGAAATAATTACAATAGATTTTTAAATTAAAATAATCAGTGATTGATTAACATGACTTTTTAGTCATTCGAGAAATGTGATGTTTGTAATCAAATAAACTGTGTCACCTTAGAATTAGTGAAAAATTTACCTACTACCTCTATTGAGTATAGAATTAAACAATCATTCCTGAATATAATTTTAAAATTATATTTAATAAGCACTTCACAAACGTTAAAAGACCTCAGAACAATTTATGAAACCATATTAAGTCAAAATAGTTCATGAATTGTATATTTTACATTATTGTTCCTAAATATCCTTTTAATTTTCGATAGTTTTAAAACTAACTTTTGCCAATATTATAATTCTATATTTCATTGTATTAAAATTAATTTAAATACAATATAATTGTTATACTTTAATATATTTAAGATGAAATTGTAAAATATAGGGTCTATACCTAATATTTCCAGCCCTATCACCTGAAGCAAGGTGATTTCCATCGGGACTGATCCTTAAAGACCTAACACCATTTTTACCATCATAGGCTGCAGTACTATCACTCCTATCTCCTCCTTGTAATTCTATATCTTTTAAACAACTTAACTCTGGATCAACATACAACACTTTAAGGAGCTCCTGAAAGACAAACAAGTTAAATCATGATTTTTTTTTTAATGAGGTGATGAATATAAAGGTTGCTATTCTTTTAGTAGATTAGTGCAAAGAGAGTATATTAATTATTAAATATTGTAATTTTCTTTACCTTGCTATAGATATTTCTTTGGTAAGCTGAATCAGGTAATGATTTAACATGACTATCAACATTCCAAACACGAATAGTGTCATCAGAAGAACAAGTAATAAATGATCCAGGTGGTACCAGACTACCTTCTGGAAACATTTCCACTCCCCATATGCAAGCAGAGTGATAAAGGTATGATTGCGATTTTCCTACCTGAGAACATACCAAAAGTTTAAATAATTTATAAAATATAAACAGATATTTTTTTAAAACAATTTTTTTTCTGGTACTACACAAGCACACACACACAAAAAAAAAAAACCAAAGTCCCCCTTTGAACTGTTTGTCGCAGCAGATATGGTTAGCACAGTACGACTGTGGCTCATGCCAATCCAGACACTGGTGGACACTAGGGTTAAAGACACAGAAGGCTATATTAACAATGTAAGGCACCAGAAAGAGGGCACCAAGAGCAAGAGATATATGCTCAGATGGACAATCAAAAGGAACAAGTGATGATACAGGAAGAAACTCTCAGGAGAAAAGAGAGGTAAGGAGCATTATTGTTCACATGCCTAGTGGCTGTGCAAACAATCGCAACCATTCTGTTTCCAGAACTGGAGATATTGTCATAGAAAGGGAAATTATTTCCATTTGATGTGACATCCAATTCCACTGTGCAGCTCACAGATATCTGCGCCAGCCTTAAGATAGGAAAAGTTCCAGGATTAGACGGAAAACTGTGATGGCACTAAGGTTACAATGGAAACCAGATTAGATCTATTTATAGATGTCTTTAGATCCTCCTCCATCTCCATCTTTTTGGTTCTTCTCTAGACAATCAAACAGGCAATCTAGTCCTGATTCTAGAGAGCAAGGGTCTCTTGGCCATTTTGTTTGTTGGCAACATCTCTTAAGCCGGCAAAATTAAAAAATTAGGCTGATGAGAAAAATTAAATTTATAAAAGCCAGCTAACCTTACTTCTTTATTAACATATTATAACCTTATTATAACATTAATTTTGTAGCTTTTGTTTTCATGGTTCACAATCACAGATACTAACAATTGTACCATGTAGTAGTAACTATTATTGTAAATGTAACTATTGTAAAAATTGTACTAACGGTTGTACCAACCACATAGCATATAGAACAATATAATCATAACTAATAATAGAAATAAAAGATGAAATTATGATATTTTTTTTTTAAAAAACATGTTAAATGTTAAGGAAAATCCTTGACATGAAAAATGAATCTGCCGTTTTGTCATAAACCATTTCTTTTTTATTACCATTTTCAAAAAATTATAAAAATATTATCCTAATCTTATTCAATAGTTTTTATTTTTAAATCATTTCAATTTTAAAAATTAAATTAAATAACTTACCCTTTTAATATCTCTTACATCCCAAATGTACAGGCTATGATCATTATATACACATGTTAATTTACAACTTTGTTCATCATAAGTAACAGCAATTGTATCAGGATACTTGGCATTGCTGGGATGTGATGCCATATGTCTGAAAATTGCCAGCAGACACAAATATAAGAAAAATTAACAATACAATCATCAATAAATGCCTTAAAGTTAATGCAAAGACTGATCTTTTATAAAATATTTAAATAAATGTCATTGGCCAAACTTTAAACCAGACCTGGGCAAAAAGTAATTTAATTTGTTTTAAAAAAGTATTATTTTAAAATACAGTGTTTAATATACCAAGTATTTTGAATTCTTCAAATATAGCACATTTAAATTGTTTTCAGAAAAGTTATTTCAAATACAAAATACTTACTGGTGGGCAATCAACCTATCATACAGGGAGTCTGCTCTATTTGTTAATTTATTTTGTATTTTTAAAATAAAATACATTTTTTTGTATTTTAATATCTTGGAATAAAAATAAAAATTTAATTCATTTGCCGTACTGATTTATGATCAAAAAAAAAGGAAAAAAAAAAGGTTTGCTAATAAGAAATTCTTTATTCTGTCAATAGTTCAAGGTAGCCAATATTGTCATAAATCCCAATTGGTATCCCAGTTTGTCAGATAATCACACATGAGGAGCATATTGTAAAGTGTCACAGAATGCTAAAGCAGGCAAATGACTATTTGTATTTGGACTTTGGGCTTTAGAGTTTGACTAAACCATGCTTCTGTTATCGCGCTGTGGACAGAATTTTTCAATACAGTTTTTAGATAAATGGTCCTTAAAAATTATAAATGTTATAAATTTACTAAGTTTGAAATTCTTCTTCTTCTTTCTCTTCCACCCATTTGCCTCTCAGCATGGGGGTGCTTCCAGCCATCGGTTCCATGCATCCCTATTCCTGACAAAGTTCCTCATCTCTTCCAGAGTCTTCCAATTCGTTCTTGATGGCTAGCGAATGAGGTTCTTGGTATTTTCCCCACCGGCCTCATCTCTAGGATTTTAACTTAACTGGCAGTAACAGATTCATCTCAGTGGCAGTAACACGGCTTTGTAACCTCTCATTCAGGATCCAACCCTCTGCTCCAGCTCCATAAAGAAGCACCAGTAGGAAGATAGGCTTGAACAGATGGAGCTTTCACATCCTGTCCCACTTCTTTTTTTCCAATTACGGTATTGCATATCGTATAGTAAACGGAATTCGCTTTTGATATCCTGCTTGAGACTTTTAATAAGTTTGAGATTCAACATTTTTTAATGGTGCAGACAAATCAGTTTTGACCTTGATTGCTTTCGACAAAGTATAGCATTCCTTCAAATTAAGGGGAAAAAAGTATTTATCTCAATAATTCATGTTCTCATGACCAATGACCATGCATGATCTTTTAAGCCAAGATTCAACAGAAAAAAAAAAAAAGAAAAATCAAGTAGTGTACAAGAGAGTAGGAGGGAAGAGGGATTAGCACCTCCTTAGGGGTGCTCTACCTCTTGACACTATTTTTTATTTCAGACACCTTCTACAACAAAGAGTGGGCTTTACTTGATGTTTAGATATTTTAAACACTTCATAGTACAATTACTAGTAAAACTAACCTTATGTCCAAGCCCTGAGCTACATCTACACCAAGATAATGGGTTCTAGGAAGTGTTGTGATGAACTGAAGCGTTTGAGGGTCAAAACATCGGACGATTCCATCTGCACAACCAATAAATATTCTCTTTTCACCTAGGGCCATACAATTTGCACTAGTAGTCTGAAAAAACAAATTAATTTATAAATTTCATAAATATAATTAAAAAATTACATAGCAATATATACATAAAAATATAACATAATAGGAGAATATATCATTAACTTTAAATATACTTTATACATTTATCGGAATGTTTACACTATACTTGATTTATATATTGTGGAAAACCCTGTTATTAGTTCAGGAAAAAATAACATTTTAATCACAATTACAAAAAAATTACATTGAAGCTAATTTAAATTACCAGGAGGAGCATGATAAAAGGCTAATACATCTTCTTACATTATTTAACAAAAGCTCAATCAATTACTGATGGGAGATCATGCAGTCCAATCCGCTCACAAGTGCTTAAAATTTTCAGTGACAATTCTTGTAGTATGCAGTATCGTTGTGCATGCAATATATTACGCATCAAAAGATTACTGTTACTGTTCACCAAATGGAGCAAATAGGATCACAATCACAATTAGTACTTCTTTAATATGCCTCAGAGTAATCAGAGTCCCATCATGAATCAAAATTTGTTCAGTGCAAGCATGATATTGCATTAATCCCCAAGCTATAAAGGATTTCTTTAAGATAGACTGGAGAAAAATGAGGAACATTTAGAAAATGTGATGGTATCACCGATTATTATATCCACTTACTGGCCAATTCTTATCATATGGTATAAGGGACAATAGAGTGGGTTGAAATTGAAGCAAGCTTGGATGTTGAGGATAAACAGTTTAACACCTGTGGCACTGCATGGAGGAGCTGAGGGACCAATGGGAGAAGTGAATATTATTCATAATGCTGTGCTCAGTTATTCTCTTAAACTATGGTTCTAAACATACCTTATAACCCTTTGACTTCAAGATCTCATAACAAATGTTTCTTCACGATGGCATTTCCTGAAATCCAAAACGACGTTCGGAAAAACAATTTTTTCCCTTCAATTTGTTTAAAATACTATTTTGAGTCACCCTGAAGATATTAGCTTTTAAAAATGAATTTAAAATATTTATATTTGATTTTGGGTTCAGAAGAAATCTGCAACAGCTTCCAAAAAATGACCCGAAACCGGAACGACCGAACTGAGTGAGCTCCAGAAGAGTAATAATGAATGCAGGGACCAAGCCACAAGGTGAACGGTGGAAGCGGGGCTTTCCCCTACCGCTACAAGTGACGATAGCCGAGGGGGCAAGGCAGGCATCCTGGCCGCCTCAGGGACCCGACCGCCAGCCGTGAAGGCAGGTGCTCCTTTGCAGCCAAGGTGATAATCATGATGAGGAAACTGTTGACCATATTTCTCAGCACCAGCTGGAGTATTCCCATTATAAAAACCATACAACAAATTCGGATATTCTCAGTGTGAATATGTTTTTGGCATTTTGTAAGAATTTAATAATAGAAATAAAAATAAAATGAAATCACTGTGCTGATCACTGTCACAATTAACATATATTCTAATCTAATTGTAATATGTTTACAATCTGTTGTAAATAAAATCATAATGCTAATACATGTATGAAATATTGTTTATTTGCGAAGGTTTTTATATTTGTAATTAGCCAAAAAAATTAAAATTGGAAAAGAACATATGAGTTTTTTATATTATATTATTCCTGTCTGCAACCTACTCCTACGTTTCTCCTGACTCACTCTGTGTAGAAGAGAGAGTATTAAAACTGATGGAGTTTATTAATGATGTCTCTAATTCATCAATGACAAAGACCTATTAAAAAGAAATCTTCAGGTGGCAGTTTACTGTTGGATTGAGGAGATCATTGTTCTTTGATAACTGCCTCCATTCGTTGAAATTTTCAAGTGTTCTTTGAAAACTTGCCTCATACCAGAAGATTAGCTCAAAGAGTTAGGAATAGGAATTTCATTACCTATGAGGCTCGTAAATAGAAGCAGAAGGATGCTAAAAGGATTCAGGTGGGAGCAATAAAAAGTGGTAGACGTTACACCTAGAAAAAGCTGTGTGAAAACATATGGGGAAGAACCTACAAAATAGTCATGAGGGGGCTGAAAAGTTAAACCTTGTTGCCTCAGAGTTCTTTTAACATATTAGGAAAAATAGTAGCAGCACTATTTTCAAGACAATCTAAAATGGCCTTTGATGAAACAGCT